TTATTGATTTCAAAGGAGAGAGAAATGGAAATATCAATGATGAGAGTGAATCATTGATTGGCTGCCTCCTGTACACCCCAGACCTGGAATTGAGCCCACACCTGGGGTATGTGTCCCGACCAGGTATGGAACCAGGGAATCAAACCATGACCTCCTGATTCACAGGTCTATGCTCAACCACTGGCCAACACCAGCCAGGGTTAACAATTCAGATTTTTAAGACTTTCAAGTCAGAGGGAACAGGAACAAGGAAGAATACCAGGCAAAGAAACAGGCTGGTTGTTACAAGGTTACTTTTCTTTAGGGCAGTGATTTTCCACCCATGTGCCATGGCAGGCACACTGGTATGTGGCAAGAATTTATAAAACATGAAATATCTGCCTAATCTGCCTATCTAGTCAGGGGCAACCAATGTCTTTAAAAAACAACCATTAGAGCTTGTGCTTAGGGGTGGGAGTGACCAAGGAGAGGTGGGGAGGGAGAGACATATGTAATACTTTAAACTATAAAGAATTTAAATTAAAGCCCTGACCAGTTTGGCTCAGTGGATAGAGCGTACATACGGACTCAAGGGTCCCAGGTTTTATTCCAATCAAGGGCATGTACCTTGGTTGTGGGCACATCCCCAGTCGAAGGTGTGCAAGAGGCAGCTGATCGATGTTTATTTCCCATCAATGTTTCTAATTCTCTATCCCTCTCCCTTCCTCTCTGTAAAAATAAAATATATATATATATTTTTTTTTAAATGTATTTTATTTATTTTTTTTACAGAGAGGAAAGGAGAGGGACAGAGAGTTAGAAACACCGATGAGAGAGAAACATGGATCAGCCACCTCCTGCACACCTCCCACTGGGGATGTGCCGGCAACCAAGATACATGCCCTTAACCGGAATCGAACCCGGGACCTTCCAGACCGCAGGCCGATGCTCTATCCACTGAGCCAAACCGGTTTCGGCTAAAATATATTTTTAAAAGAATTTTAATTAAAAAATAATTTAAGTAATTTAAAAAACAACTAGAACCCTAGCTGGTTTGGCTCAGTGTATAGAGCATCAGCCTGTAGACCAAAGGGTCCCAGGTTTGATTCCAGTCAAGGGCATATAACTTGGTTGCAGGCTCCTCCCCAGTCCAGGCCCTGGTTGGGGCAGGTGCAGGAGGTAATCAATCGATGTGTTTCCTTCACATCATGTTTCTCTCTGTCTTTCCCTGTCTTCCACTCTCCCTAGAAATCAATGGGAAAATATCCTCAGGTAAGGATTAACAAACAAGTAGATACTGAAAAGATTAAGCTGAAAGTTGCTTGATTTTGTCCTTAAGTTTCTTTGCAATTAAGAGTGGCTAATGTGCCGAAACCAGTTTGGCTCAGTGGATATATCTTTAAAAAAAAAAAAAAAAGAGTGGCTAACCTGACTGAATGTTAAAGAGAGAGGATGTGCATTGTGGTGTGGACACAGTGCTGTACATTTGGGGGGGAGGGGTGTTTTTTTTTTTTTTAGGAATATTTATTCCTTTTAAAAAATATATATTTTATTGATTTTTTTTACAGAGAGGAAGAGAGAGGGATAGAGAGTTAGAAACACCGATGAGAGAGAATCATTGACCAGCTGCCTCCTGCACACCTCCTACTGGGGATGTGTCCACAACCAACGTACATGCCCTTGCCCGGAATCTAACCTGAGACCCATCAATCCACAGACCAACGCTCTATCCACTGAGCCAAACCAGTTTCGGCTTAGGAATATTTCATTTATTGCAGTGAATACAACTATGTGTTTACAAAAATATTGATTTAATCAAAAGCTACAATTTTACTTCTCAGTTCAGCATTAATTCAATGAATCCTAAATCTTCATTCTTTTCATGTACTTGAAGAAATTCCCATAAACTCTGAACAACCATTCAAAATTTTTCAGGTTCACCTGACTGGCGTGGCTCAGTGGTTGAGCGACCCATGAACCAGGAGGTCATGGTTCAATCCCCAGTCAGGGCACATGAGAACATTGCATGAGCATGTTGCAGGGCACATGAGCACGTTGCAGTCAGGGCACATGAGCACGTTGCAGGGCACATGAGCACGTTGCACACCCCAATGGGGGTGTGCAGGAGGCAGCCAATCTATAATTCTCTCTCATCATTGATGCTTCTATCTCTCTCTCCTTTATTCTCTGAAATCAATCCTCCTATATATAAAAAAAGAGGCTAATATGCAAATTGTCCCCTTAAGAATTCTACCAGGAGTTTGATAGCTTGCTATGACATGCACTGGCCACATGTACATGCACAGGGGGCAGTGTGGAACATGGCAGGTGACCAGTGGGGAGCAAGGGAAGGAGGAGGCGGGGAGGCAGGGAACCTGATTGACCCTGATAGCCAGCCAAACCTAGGGACCTTACCCATGCACAAATTTCATGCACTGGGCCTCTAGTAAAAATGTATATTTAATTCTTTTTCATGTTCCTTAAATATGAACCCAATTTATAGTATCTTTAGCCCTAATCCTGACACCCTACCTCCACCCTCATATTTTCTTGTCCCAATTACAGGACTTGCTGTTCAGGTAACACAAGCTCACACCACTCCAGTGTGTGAGAAATTGGCTTTCCAGTCTATATTCCATGATCATACATTTTCTGACCTCTTCTGTTGCATAAAAAAAAAATGATTAAGCAAAAACAACTTCCTTTTCCTGTATGTGGGCAAGCTTTGACTTTTATGAGTAAAACTTTATTGGGACACAGGCATACACATTCATCTGTGCATTGTCTACAGCTGTTTGTGAACCACTGTGGCACAATGTATTAGAATAGGCCATCCGGCTCTGCAGAGTCTAATATATTGGCTCCTTTGTGGGGAAAATCTGCTGACCCCTGCCCTAGTCTAGTTTTTTTTTACTTTGGGGACCAGCCAAATTATCAATCAACATCTTGGATTAAATATTCAGCATCTAGGTGTTTATGTGACCTCCCACCACTCAATATATTTATATTTGTTTTTAATATATTTTTATTGGTTTCAGAGAGTAAGGGAGAGGGAGGGAGAAAGAACTGGAAACATCTGTGAGGAGAGATAATTAAGGATCAGTTGCTTCCTGCATGGCCCCTACTGGGGATGGAGCCTGCAACCTGGGCATCTGTCCTTGACAGCAATTAAACCCAGGACCCTTTAGTCTACAGGCTGATGCTCTATCCACTGAGCCAAACCAGCTAGGGCTATATTTGTATTTAAACCAGAGTCTTCAAGGAAAGTTTTGATCAATTTACATGTTTCATTTAGAATAATAAAGAAGTGTATTTTTACCTTTCCTAAGTCCTTTGCTTGTTTGTTTTTGTCTCACCAATTCTGTCATGCAATATAGGGTTGTTTCAGTGGAATTGTCATTTAAAAAATGGTGTTCTAGCTGAAACCAGTTTGGCTCAATAGATAGAGCATCAGCCTGTTGGCTGAAGGGTCCTGGGTTCGATTCCAGTCAAGGGCATGTACCTTGGTTGCAAGCATATCCCCAGTAGGGGATGTGCAGGAAGCAGCTGATGGATGTTTCTGGCTCTCTATCTCTTTCCCTTCCACTATGTAAAAAAATTATATATATATATATATATATATATATATATATATATATATATATATATATATATATAGTGTTCTGCCCTAGTCAGTTTTGCTCAGTGGATAGAGTGTCAGACTGTGGACTGAAGGGTCCCGGCTTCAATTCTGGTTAAAGGCACATGCCTGGGTTTTGGCCTTGATCCCCAGTGGGGTGATGTGAAGGAGGCAGCCAATCAATAATTCTCTCTCATCATGGATGTTGCTATTTCTCTTTCCCCCTCCTTCCTTTCTGAAATAAATTTTAAAAAATTTTAATGGTGTTCAAATAATTCAGGAGACCTTAACTGGTTTGACTTAGTGGCTGGAGCGTCAGCCTGAGAACTCAAGGATCCCAGGTTCGATTCCAGTCAAGGGCATCTACCTTGGTTGCAGGCACTTACACAGTAGGGGGTGTGCAGGAGGCAGCTGAGCAATGTTTCTTTCTCATCAATGTTTCTAACTCTCTGTCCCTCTCCCTTTCTCTCTGTAAAAAAATCAATAACATATATTTCTTTTAAAATAATAATTCAGGAGGTTCATATCTCTTCCCCCCACACACACACCCATTATGTTACCTTGTGTTCCCTGTGGCCATTACTGCTCCTGATGAGAGATCTTCTGGCACCGCACTGAATGGGCCATGTTCCTGTGGCTCTTCTCAAGGGCCAGCTCAGAGAGCTGAAACATTTTATCCTTGTTTCCCTTGCATTCTGGGATGTGGGGGACTCAGCAGGGGGTGTATAGGGTGGACACAAGGTCAGGTAGAGGGAATCCTGAAAAAATTTTATCTCTTCGCAGAGACAAATTTAGAATCCTCTGGAGGTATTCTTGGACACTTTCTGGGAAATTTGGCTCCTGTAAAATCTTACCCCATCTGGAAATACAGAAACTGCTATTATATTTTGCTTAGATTTTCTAAAATTCCATTGCCAAAGCCTTTCTGAATAATTCCTCTAGGAAGGTGTTAAGATTTTCCAGTCACTAGTTTCACCCTAGTTTTCAACTGTTTTCAGGACAGTGTGGAGTGGGCAAATAAACTTCAAAAACTTCTTTAGCTGTGTGGTTCAGTGGATAGAACGTCAGCCTGTAGACTAAAGGGTCCCAGGTTCAATTCTGGTCAAGGGCACATGCCTGGGTTGTGGGCTCCATCCCCAGTAGGGGGCGTGCAGGAGGCAGCTGATCCATGATTCTCTCATCATTGATATTTATCTCTCCCTCTTCTTTCCTCTCTGAAATTAATATATATATATATATATAAATATATATATATATATATATATATATATATATATATATATATGAAAAAGCCAAGCCAATTCTGTTTCCTTCATATTATGATTTGACATGGATGTCTCTTTCTTCAGCCATGTTCACCCCTTCCCTACTTGTTTTTTTGTTTTGTTTTTTTCTTTTCCAGCAAGCACAGTGCAGCCTGGATCTTCGACACATCACTGTGGTAGAGCTTGTAGGTGTGTTCCCGAACCTCGTTGGCAGGATAGGAGTGAAAATTATGCCTCCAGCCCTAGCTCTGCAGCTCAGGTAGGGGGAATGTCCTGTTCTAAAATGTTCTCCCTACAAATGTACATTTTTCTGATCAGGTTCCCTGGTTTCTTTCTATTCAGTCTTGATTCCAGGTAACCTTCAATGTGCAATTGCTTTTATTATCTTCTTTGACCTTCCAACCAAGTCTTTTACCTTCCAACCAAGTCTTTGTTCTTTTTTCCCCAGTTGTTGGAAGTAGGACGGGTAAAGGAGAGCCTGCCCAAAAGATTTCTCCCTCTCCCCCACCCCAACAAAAAAACTACCCTGTTTCCCCGAAAATAAGACAGTGTCTTATATTAATCTTTGCTCCCAAAGATGCACTAGGTCTTATTTTCAGGGGATGTCTTATTTTTCCATGAAGAAGAATACGGTACACATTTATTGTTAAATGAAAATAAAGGAAATTTATTACCTGTATACGGCACAGTAGTACGGTAGTTGTCAATACAAACCAGACAAACTGTGAATCCTACAGTATCAAGAATTTACTCATTTATTCAATGACAATCATGTCATCATCTTCTGGAACATCATCATAACAATCCAATTCCTGAATTTCCTGGTGAATTTCTTGTGACTCCATTTCTTTCAGACCAAATTTCTCATGTTTAGCAATAGCACTGTCTTTAAATGAGTATTTCTTGTCAAGGTAGCCTGCTTGCAATGCAACTGTCAGAGATTTTCTCCCATGAATTCTTCACCCAAGTCACAGCTTCTTGCAGTTTAGGTTTCACAAAGTTTCCACGCTGATTTCTCTCCATTCTATTTTCAACGTAGTCATTGATTTCCATGCGCAAATTGTCTTTGAATGGCTTGTTTATTGCAATATCAAGAGTCTGGAGATAGGCTATCATTTCTGCGGGAATCATTATCTGATCTATTTTTCTTTCATGAAGAAATGTCTTCATGTCTTTAGCGTGGTGAGTGCTGGCTGCATCCCAAACTAGCAGACCTCTTTGGCTCCCTCACATAACAAGCGGCAGCATTAAATCGACCCACTTCCTTATAACTGTTTGTGTGGCCCAGGCTTTTTCAGTTTCAAGAATAAAAATGCCCAAAACACGTTCAATCTTTTCCTTCTTGCCCTTAGAAATGATTAAAGGTGGGATTTTAGTGCCATCCAGATGAAATGCCAAAATACAGGAAACACGTGCACTTTCATAAGCAGTGGAGGGAATGTACACTAAGGAGGCATCCCGCTGTTCAATTGTTGTTTGAGATGATTGACCCATAAACACTGCAGTTTCATCCATAGCAATCATATAGGAAAGATTGTATTTAGAGAAGTGAGCATCATCAATAAAGGACTTGAATGCAAGTGCTCGCCTAATAACTTGAGTATCTTCCAACCTAAACAATGTTGTAGATCTTCTTAAAGACAGTTCACTTTGCTGAAGGAAATTATCCAGCCAGTGTTGAGATGCTTTGAAGTCTTCGATGGCTATGTCAAACTGTGGTGCCATTGCAAGGGCAAATTCTTGAATCTGAGCCCTATTCACAACCAAAGCCTTTGCTCTCCTGTCAACAACCCATTAACAGATCAGGTCTTCCAGCTCGGAAAATAATGGTTGCCGACCTGATCCACACATGTGCTTTTTAGCATTTCCTTTTTCCACTTGTTCAATGAGGTCACCATAATCTGCTTGCCATTTTTGGACCAATCAGTCACTTAACATCTTCTCTTTGCAAAAAGCAGTAAGATTTTGGCCCCAAGAGTCTTCCACGATTCCTTTCTTGTACTCCACGGAGTAGCTTTTTCTTTTTGCGCTCATTTCTAGGTGTAAAAAAAAAGGAATTGGGGTATCAAGGTGGGGGAAGGTGGATCACTTAAAATGACACAGGGGGGCTCAGAGGCGGGAATCAAAATGGCACAGGAGAATCAGAGGGGAGATTACCATTTTAGTAACCCCTTTTGATCCTCCTGTGTCATTTTGATAGCCCCCTTTGATGCTCCTGTGTCATTTTAAGTGATAGCCCCTACCCCTACCCCTGTGCCACTGAACACCTTCACCAGACATCCCTCCTACCCCTTTATCAGACATTTACCCCCTGCGGCCTGCCTTGGGACTGTCTCTGGGCTTGTTGGAGCCTGGATCTGGGCTGGAGCAGGGTCTGCCACTGACTGAGAACCTTCAGTCATCATGAGGGAGGCTGCGAGAATCAGGTAGTGTCACCAGAGACAGTCCAGCACTCACCACCTTTGCCATGTCCCCCTGTTCTTCTACATGCATCTGCGAAAGTCTCCTCCACTCTCATGCTCCGCACTCAACACTCACTCCGACCTCCGCTCTGCCTCCACACAGCAGTGACGTCAGGACTCTGCGTAATGTCACTGATTGCTAGACACCAGTCAGGGCGGCCCTAGCGACCAGTTTACGGTAAATTAATTTTCATTCTGAGACAGAGCCTAGGGGGGCCTTATTTTGGGGGGGATGCCTTATATTTCACCCAGAAGGAAACCTGTAAGTAGATCTTATTTTGGGGGAAAACATAGTAGATACTTTGGGTCTGTCAGATGCTCTTAGATGCTCCTACATATCTACTTATATTACTTTATAAACATCACTTTGGGAAATATTTTTTAAAATAAATCTTTATTGTTGAAAGTATTACATATATCCTCTCTCCCCGCCCCATTAACCCCCTCCCATCCCCCTCTCACTGCCCCATTGTCTGTGTCCATAAGTTATACATATATACATACAAGGTCTTTGGTTGATTACCTCCCACCCACCCTCCCTCATCTTCTCTCTGAGATTGGGATTCTCCATTTCTAACAAGATTCCATGTGACAGACCACACTTTGTGTAGCAAACGTCTCAAGGCTGATCCAGTCCTTTGTGTTATGAAGTTTTTCTCTGCACATGGTGTCATTATAGGGCTCTGGTTGTGTGGTTGGTTGGTTTACCAGAAAGCTTAGAAGTCAGGTTTGACCTCTCTCTCTCTCTCTCTCTCTCTCTCTCTCTCTCTCTCTCTCTCTCTCTCTCTCCTCTCTTCTCCTCTCCTCTCCTCTCCTCTTCCTTCTCTCTCTCCTCTTTTAAAAAAATAATTTTGTTGATTTCAGAGAAGAAGGAAGAAGGAGAGATAGAACATCAATGATAAGAAAGAATAATGGATTGGCTGCCTCTTGCATGCTGCACACTAGGGATCAAGCCTGCAACTGGCCATGTGCCCTTGACCAGAATTGAACCTGGGACCTGTCGGTCCACAGGCCAACACTATTCACTGAGCCAAACTGGCTAGGGCTTGATGTATTCTTCTCTCATTTAAAAAAAATATATTATTATTGATTTCAGAGGGGAAAGGAGAGAGAGAGAGAAACATCAATGAGACAGAATCATGGATTGGCTCCTCCTGCATGCCCCCTACTGGGAACTGATCCTGCAATGAGGGCATGTACCCTGTCCTTGAATCAAACCTTGGACCCGTCAGTCTGCATACCTACACTCTATCCACTGAACCTAACCAGCTAAGGCTTGATATATTCTTCTATTTTTCTGCCCTAGGCTGTTGCTGCGAATCCCGCTCTACTCCTTCAGCATGGTGCTGATTGATAAGCATGGCATGGACAAGGAACGCTATGTCTCTCTGGTGACCCCTGTGACCCTCTTCAACCTGATTGACACATTCCCACTGAGGAAAGAGGAGATGGTCCTGCAAGCGGAAATGGGCCAGTTGTGCAACACCTGATGTGACGGTTCCTCTCTGTGTAGTCCATCTTCTTTTTCTACATAGTGCTCAGCACCCAGAAAGTCCTTAAGCAAATCCTTGATGTACAGATTTTTATTTGTAATTTTGAAATTCTATTTTATTATGACCTTTCTTTGCACTTAAAAATTAGCACGATGCTTTTTATACTTTGACATTTTCCAAAAAAAAGATATGACTATATTTACTATTTCTAACTTTTTTTACTCCATGATGGGCTGGTTCATTTTTGAAAGCACAATCATATACATGCTTTTAATATGTTACTCAGTGTGACAGGTAACTTTTCTTTCATCGTTTTTTATATAAAATTTTTACTAATAAAATATTTTGGAGCAAATTTGTTAAAACTCATTTTATTTTTCAAGTGTACCAGCCATACTTAGTGTGGTCAATGGTTTTAGGCCTGAAAATTTGCCAGGCCACTTTGTCTGCAGCTGGATGGCTCCCTTGCTCTTCAGCAACACCCAGATTTCTAAAGAGAGGCCTCCCTAACTGGAGGGATTGAAAAGAAGAAGGCAGAAAGAGCAAAGGAATGCCTTTCCTGCTGTCTGCCCCAGGATTCCAGCAAGAGTTCTGCCCATTGATCTCTGAGAACCCACTTCCCACTCAACGGAGCCCCTAACAGGCCCTGTGTAAACCTAAAGCCACACACCCACGACCACCTGCTCTGGCACCTCCTGTGTTTTTCTTTTCCATGCTATCTTTATTATGTATATAGTCCAACCATAGTGCTGAGTCAGCTCTCATAAGAAAAACCAAAAACTTTTACTATAGTGCCACATTCTAGAAAACAAAAGGCTCCTAATGACTAACCTATTGAATTGTTTGAATAAAAGTAAACAAAGCTTTACCTAAATAAGAAAGGTGTTCTTGCTCTAGCTGGTTTGGCTCAGTGGATAGAGCATCAGCCTGCAGACTAAAGGGCCCTGGGTTAGATTCCAGTCATAGCGCACATACCTTGGTTCAGGCTCCTTCCTGACCCGAGCCCTGGTCAGGGCATGTGCAGCAGGCAAGCAATTGTTGTATTTATTTCACATCAATGTTTCTGGCTTTTCCTATCTTTTACACTTTCTCTAAAAAGCAATTTGAAAAAATAACCTCAGGTGATGATTTAAAAACAAAAAAAGAAAAGAAAGATGTTCTCTAGTTTAAATGTGACAACAAAGGTATACTATATCAATCAATCTTAAAAATCATGATTATACATTATTAAAATACAAAAATGCTGATCTCTAGACCCCAAACCCAAAGACATGGACTATTGCAATCTGAGAAAAATTTCAACATAGCTATTATGAAGAAATTCAATGAGCTATAAGAAAATTTAAAAAGGTTCTTCAAAGAACTTGGGGATAAAATTAATGAAGAAAAGGAGTACATTACCAAAGAATATGAAATTCTGAAAAATAAACAAATAGAAATTCTTGAGCTGAAGAACTCAATAAAGGTGATAAATTGCATTAGAAGGCATTGGAAATAGAGCAGATCAGATTAAATAGAAAAAAAGCAAGATAGCTGAAACCGGTTTTTCTCAGTGGGTAGAGCATTGGTCTGTGGACTGAAGGGTCCCAGGTTCGATTCCGGTCAAGGGCATGTACCTTGGTTGTGGTCACATCACCAGTGGGAAGTGTGCAGGAGGCAGCTGATCTATGTTTCTCTCTCATCGATGTTTCTAACTTTCTATCCCTTTCACTTCCTTTCTGTAAAAAATCAATAAAAAATATATTTTTTTAAAAAAGAAAAAAAAAAAACAAGATCAAGGCTAGGAATTTAGAAATAATTCAGGTGGAAGGAAAAAAGAATTCAGATTTTAAAATAGTAAAGAAGCCCTATGATAACAGACTTGATCATAAGAGCAAACATAAGATAAATAGGTATACTAGAAGGAGAATAGAGGCAGAAAGATTTAGTAAGTTTATTTTAAAAAGAAATTACTGGAGTACTTCCCAAACCTTTTGAAGGAAGGTATTTATAAGACCATGTAGCTAATAGAACACCTTATTATCTCAATGCAAAAAGACCTTCTCCAAGATACATTATAATAAAGTTGTCTAAATTCCATGATAAAGAATTGTAAAGGCAGCCAGTGAAAAGAAATCAGTAAACTAAAGGAACCCCTCAGGCTATCAGCAAATTTCTCAGAAGAAATTCTACATGCCAAGAAAGAATGACATATTTGAAGTATTGAAAGATAGAATTATCAGCCAGTAAGTACTCTATCTGGCAAAATTATGCTTCAGATATTGAGAAATAAAGGCTTTCCCTGGCAAACAGAAGCCAAGGGAGTTCACTTACCACTATACCTGCCTTGCAAGAAATGTTTAAAGGAGGTTTTCAAGGTGAAACCAAAAGATAAGAATACACAAAATTCTGATTAAGGTGAAAAATAAAATGAGAAAACTTAAACTCTATGTTAGAGTAGTAAATTAAATGATTGTATCATAAAGCTTAAAGAGCATTAAAAATAGCTATAGCTACTATAATTTGGTAAGAAAGTCATAGCATAGAGAGATAATTTGTCACATCAAAATTATAAATGTGTAGTAAAAGTAAATGAAGATAAATTTCTATCAGCAGAAAACGACCATTTTATTTATTAAATGTATTATGTAAACTTCATGGTAACTACAAACAAATATATAGAGCATAGATACAAAACATAAAAAATGGAAATCACCATGGAATACCATCAACTTGCCCTGACCGGTTTGGCTCAGTGGATAGAGTGTCAGCCTGTGGACTGAAGAGTCCTGGGTTCAATTCTAGTCAAGGGCATGTGCCTTGGTTGTGGGCTCGATCCCCATTAGGGGGTGTGCAGAAGACAGCTGATGGATATTTCTCTCTCATCCATGTTTCTAATTCTCTATCCCTCTCCCTTCTTCTCTGTAAACAATCAATAAAATGTATTTTAAAAAAGAAAACCCACCAACTTACAAAGGTAGACAGAAACAAAAGGAAAAAGAAACATTGGAGACACTAAGTAGAAGGCAAGATGTAGAATGGCAATAGTAAATCCTTACATATTAACAATCACCATGAAGGTAAATCAATTAAACTCACTTTAAAAAGTCACAGAGTGGCTGGATGGATTTTTAAAAAATGATATAACTATATGACACCTACAGAAGACTCATTTTCAGCTCTAGAGATACACATAGGCTCAAATTGAAGGGATGGATTATATTCCAAACAAACATAAATTTTAAAAAAAAATTAAAAGGTGAGCTTAGCCATGCCTATATCAGACAAAATAGATGGCAAGCCAAAATGGTAAAAGAGACAAAGAAGATCAGTATCCTATATAATAAAAGCCAAATATTTAAATTGTTCAACCAATCAGCTCCAGCAGAACATCAGAAAGATCAGGCACTGTGACTAAGTAGGATTTCTTCCGGGAATGCAAGGATAGTACAATATATGCAAATGAATAAATGTGATACATCACATAAACAAATTGAGAGATAAAAGTCATTTAGTCATATCAATTGATGCAGAAAAAGCATTTGATAAAATCCAACACCCTTTCCTGATAAAAACTCTCAACAAGTTGGGAATAAAAGGATCATACCTCAATATAATAAAAGCTATATATGATAAACCCACAGCCAATATCATACTCAATGGGCAAAAACTAAAACCATTCCCTCTAAGAACAGGAACGAGACAGAGATGCCCACTATCACCACTTCTGTTTGCCATAGTATTGGAAGTATTAGCCATTGCAATTATACAAGAAGAATAAATAGTAGGCATCCAAATTGGAAAAGAAGAAGTAAAGTTGTCCTATTTTGCAGATGACATGATATTGTACATAAAAAAACCAAAAGACTCTATAAAAAAATAATAGACTTAATAAATGAATTTGGCAATGTAGCAGGATACAAAATTAACGGCAAGAAATCTATGGTATTTCTATACACCAGTGTTTCCCTAAGTGTGGTATGCATACCCCAAGGGGCACGGGAAGAATTTGATGGGGGTATGCATTGCACAGTTTGGTGGGGATATGCACTGCACCATGCTTAGCTGCGCCTAATTCTACATTCTCATGAGTACGAGGGGTACTCATAATTCTTAAAATTATAGAAGGGGTATACATATGTCAGAAACAGAGACTAAAAAAGCAATCCCATTTACCATTGCATCAAAAAAAAAAATTAAGATACCTAGGAATAAACTTAACTAAGGAGGTAAAAGACTCATATGCAGGAAACTACGCGACACTGAAAAAAGAGATAGAGGACGATGTAAACAGATGCAAAACATACCAGGTTCATGGATTGGTAGAATCAACATCATCAAAATGTCCATACTTCCCAAAGCAATTTATAGGTTCAATGCACTCCCCATTAAAATACCAACGGCATATTTCACTGACCTAGAAAAAATCTCTCCAAAAATTCATCTGGAACAAAAAAAGACCCCGAATAGCCACAGCAATCCTGAGAAAGAATAATAAAGTAGGAGGGATCTCAATACCTGATTTTAAGCTGTATTACAAAGCCACTGTTCACAAAACAGCCTGGTACTGGCACAAGAACAGACATATAGATCAATTGAATAGAATAGAGAATCCAGATATCAACCCAAATCACTATGCTTAATTAATATCTGACAAAGGAGGCACGAATACACAATGGAGTCAAGACAGTCTCTTCAATAAATGGTGTTGGAAAAATTGGACAGATACATGCAAAAGAATGAAACTAGATCACCAACTCACACCATACACAAAAATAAACTCAAAGTGGATACAAGACTGAAACATAAGACGGGAAACCATAAAAATACTAGAGGCATCCACAGGCAGCAAAATCTCATACATATGCCAAAAGAACTTCTTCACTGATACTGCCCCTAGGAAAATGGAAGCTAAAGAGAAAATAAATAAGTGGGACTACATCAAAATAAAAAGCTTTTTTACAGCAAAAGAAACCATCAACAAAATAACAAGGAAGCCCACTGTATGGGAGAACATG